CCAGGAATGGTGTTGTGGGCATCTGCAGTGTGAGTTGTCCTTGGGTATCTGGCTTCCTTAAGAATGGCAGAGTAGTTCTTGTTTTCCCCTGAGGTAATGCAGGGCTGGTAGCTATCATCTTCTCAAGTTGCAAGTTCTTCAACCTTGTTTTCGGCCTCGGCCTCCGGGCCATCCCGCGCCAGAGGCGCCAGCGGGGCAGGTCGGCCTCGGCCTCCGGGCCATCCCGCGCCAGAGGCGCCAGAGAGGCAGGGAGAGGCAGGAAGAGGCACTTGGCTGCGCTGGGGGGGCGTGAGCCCCCCAAATAAATAATTATTTTTTAAAAATCACCAATTTCAGTATCTTCTATACACAAATAATGAGAAAATATTATATGAGTTTACAACACACAAGTGAACTTAATCCTGCTTCATTACTATCATACCTCTCTGTTCCTCAGAATTAGTGGACCCACTAATTATATCCTGTCAATTCTTTGTGTTTATTATGTGAATCATCACAGGCCAGAAACAACTTAGAATGCCAATATCTACAATCAGCTGCTTTAGTAAGACAAATCTTCAGTGTTTATTCCATTCGCCACTTTGGGATTTTCCTTTTGTATTTTTTTCTCTTTTCCTTTTTTAAATTTTTAATTAATTTATTTTTTGAGAAGTTTTTGCCATAGGGCGCATGCGCTTGCCAGACAGAGACAGAGAGACAGAGAGCAAGAAATCAGCCCCCAGGGGGGATGGCCATTCCGCAATCCCTTCTCCTCCATTCTCCTCTTGGTATCTCGGGCACGCACGGTCACGCACACACACACGCCCGGCGTGAGTTTAAGCCACCGGGTCCGGGACTTGAACCACAGTCGACTACATGGGAGTCCTGTGGCATAGCCATTATGCTAACTGCTGGTCCCTCCTTTTGTATTTTAAGATTAATCAAACTATGCTTCTGTTTTTTTCTTCAGGAGCAATGGGCGAACTATGAGATAGCCAAGTAGTGTAAGTACACGGAGGAAAGGCAATAACCGAAGCCATTCTGAAACTGAGCCCGGTGAGCCTGGTAATGCTCTGGAAGGGGAGCCGCTTCACATAGGTGGGACGGCACCTTCTCCAAGCGGCCCCTGCTCTCCAGCACCTTCTCCAGGCCGCCCCGCTGTCCAGCACCTTCTCCATGTGGCCCACGCTCTCCAGCACCTTCTCCAGGCGGCACCCCCACTCTCCAGCACCTTCTTCATGCCCCCACCCCCGCTCTCCAGTACCTTCTCCAGGCGGCCCCGCTGTCCAGCACCATTCTGGCCAGCATCCACCGCTCCAGCTCTGACCCTGA